CCCCACAGCTGGAGGGCTCATCCGAGGACCTGGACCTACCGGGCCGCAGCCTGGACGCCAGCTCCGGGGACCTCAGCTGTGACAGTCGGGCCAACAGCGACTATGAGGACACAGACGGCGTCTACACGGACGGCGAGGGCAGCGGGCCCCAGGACGCCGATGAGGAACCCCGACTCCCAGCTCTGGCCCGGTCCTCGGAGCCTGCGTGGGAGGGGATCGCCGCCGAGTGGGACATGCGGGTGGGCGTGGCCCCGAGGGGTGGGGAAGTGGGACCCATATCCCCCTCCGCGCATGTCAGCAGGGTCACAGTCCTTGTCTTCCCTCCAGGCCGACAGCCGCCACCCCCAGGGCCAGGACAGCATGCGGTAAGCACCAGTCAGGGACAGGGACGCTGTGCCCGAGACAGCCAATGGGGCCACTCGGCTCCATGCAGTCGGGCTTAAGAACAGAGAGTCCTCAGGCATGAAGGCTCTCAGGCAAGAAGGGGCCTTGGGGCCGGGGCTTTGTAGGACATATAGGAGTCAGCTCCCGAGTTCCCACCCAGTTAGTTAAATGCCTGGGCTTGCTCATCCTTGTGCCCACACTGCCTGATGGAGTCAGTCCGGGTTTTGGTCACGCTGTGCACCCTCCCCATCGCAGCCCCGCACCCACCTCTGCCCCCAGGACCTACGAGCACGACGCCCTGAGGAAGAAGTTCACGAGAGCCCGGGACGTTGAGTCATCCGATGATGATGGCTATGACTGGGGCCCAGCCACCGACCTGTGACCTGAGAAGGCACAAGCCCTCCCTCCCTGGAGCCTCAGTTTACCCTGTAGGACCCAGAACCTTTGACAATTTAATAAACCTTTAATTTTTTAACATTAGAAAATAATACAAGGATGAGGATTCTGGGGTCCCCATGGGCTGTGGGGTGACAGTCCTGGTGGCGGGGACGAAGGCACGCACGGACGGGGCGGTCACAGGTACACCGGCTGTTCCTGCCCCGTGAGCAGCCGGTAGGTTGCAGCTGGCATGGTCTTGATGTGAATCTAAGGGTCAGGGTGACGGGGTCAGAGGTGAGGGGGTGGGCTGATGGGTCAGAGGTGAGGGGTTGGGGTGATGGGTCAGGGGTGACGGGTCACCTCTCGCGCCTCTGTGAGCAGCTGGATGATGCGCGCATGCGGCATGGCTACCACGCTCTGCCCGTTGACCTCGATGATGCGGTGTCCCACGCGGACACCGCCACGCTCAGCCGCACCCCCGCGCAGCAGGCTGCAGATCTGGGGGAGACAGCACTCAGGACCGGCCTCGGGGCTGTGCTCTAGCCTCCACCCCATGCCCAGTCCAGGGCCCCGGCCTCACGATGCCGTCCTCCACGCAGAAGCCCAGTTGCTCGTGCACATGGGGCCGGCGGATGATGGCTGTGGTGACAGGCGGGCAGTGGATGATACTCAGTGTCACTGACGAGTGTCGCCGCACCTCCTGAGGACCACCGTGCTGCTCAGGCCTCTGCACGCCTCAGTTTACCCACCCGTCAATCCCCCGGGGAATGTGCACCTTGCAACCCCACCTCTGCCCCCCGCCCGGGCCCCACAGAACCCCGGCTTACGCGCACAGCGGCCTGGCAGGCATCGAGGGGCAGCCCCACCAGGCTGGTCCCATTGATGGCGGTAACACGGTCCCCGATGCTGAGGGCTCCCGAGCGCTCGGCAGGGCCCCCGTGGAGCAGGTTGGCAATGACGGCGGTGGGCAGCAGGGAGCCCCAGCCGGACTCAACCAGGGCAACGCCCAGGCCCTCTCCAGGCCGCTTCTGGATGCAGACCTGGGGGCGGGGCTCAGTGAGGGGTCCAGCTGAGGTCAGAGGGAGCAGGGGTTGAGCCTCTTTGGGTGCTGCCTACAGGAAGGGAGATGCGCAGGGGCGGGGCCGGGTCTGCGGGGTTGGGAGACTGTGCCTGGGCGAGGCCTCAGCAGGCAGAGCGCTCACTCACCTCCCTGCAGTTCTGGCTGTTGCAGAAGTGGTCCAGGTCACCGTTGTGCGGGTGACTGGCGTCCGAGGGCCGCGTGCCCACTTGGCTGGGGTCGATCCCGTTCTCCTGCAGGAACTGGCTGTAGGCGATGCTGAAGGCCTGGCCGATGGCCTGTGCAACGAGCTGGGCCTGTGGGAGGACAGCTCCTTCACATCCTATAAAGTCCTGGCTCCAAGGCCCACACCTTCAAGAAACCTCAAGTCAGACTCAGATGGGGGCAGGGCTCGGCCTGTGCCGCGGCTGCTCACATCCTCTGAGTGGAACACATGGCACAGCATTTTGTAGAGACGCTGCTTGCGGTCCTGGGGCGCGGTCCTCCTGGCCAGTCGTCTCCGGGCCATCACGATCAGCACTGGCCCAATGTCCGCAATGTAGGAGATGGTCTGCAGGGCGTGGTCCATCAGGGCATCCTGTGGACACGTGCTAGGTGGGCTAGGGGGCCTCTTGGGGACCCCAAGTGTCCACGACAGCCAAGGCCTGGCCTTCCCGGTACCTGGGAGTCAGCGGCTAGCACCTTGACCCTCTTGGTGGAGATAAAGATGTCCACCTCCACCATGGGCTGAGTCTCACCCTCGGGGGCCTGCGGGGAGGGAAGTAGGACATGGGCTCGCTCATAGCTGTCGGGAACACTGCACCCTGCAGAACTGGGAACACCTTCCTGGCTCACCTTGACGCGGTCCATGGCTTCCTGCGCCTGCGCCATGCGCATGCTGGGTGGTGGGCTGCGCTCTGACAGCAACTGGGTGGAGCCCAGGTATTTTGCCGCAAAAACGACGCCGTCCACGAGTTCCTCATGTCCACAGGGACCTGGAACTGTGAGTGACAGCAAGGGGTGCAGCCAGGCACATCCATCATAGGTGTCCCATGGACTCTGGGAGCCTGCAAATCCTGAGCTGTTGCTCAAGAAACTCACAGCTCTGTCCCAGAACTTAGCATAGGCTAGACCCACCGTGCTCCATCACCTGTTCTAGAAGAATCCACAGGGCTTGGGCCTCAGTGTATGGTAGCCAGTTCTGTACCTGGCACTGCCAGAACTCCTGTGAAGTGTCACCCTCAGGGGGACCCAGGGCTCACGGACCACTCTTCTAGAACCTTCTGACCAGGCTGGAAGCTCATGGCCTTACTGTGGTGTCTCAAACCCCTAACATACCAGAATCGGGCAGGTCAGCAAAATGGCTCAGTGGATAAAGGCACTTTCGGCCAAGCATGACAACCTGAGTTTGATCCCTGGGACCCCACATGGTGGGAAAGAACTAACTCCTACAAGTTGTCCCCCAACCCCCTTCTCTACCACATTCAATAAATAAATGCAAAAAAAAAAAAAAGAAAGAAAGAAAAAGAAATAAGAGGATCCAGGCCATTTCCCATAGTGACCCAGAATTCTCTCTAGTCAGCCCAGGGAGTCCAGAGTTTCAAAGCCCAGGTTCTCCACAGTCCTCAGGCAATTCCACCCATGATTCTAGAGCCAGTTCCTCTTTCTCATCATGTCAGACCATTCTACTTCTTTACTTTTTCTGTCCTGTGCTAGGGGGCTCTGGCTGCTGTGGAACCTGTCATCCTCCTGCCTCAATTTTCTGCATACTGGGATCAGGTGGGTTCTCTCACACCCAGCTGTGATATTGCAACTTCCAGGTACCCCCAAAGCTGACAGCTGGGAGCTCTTATTGTCCCTAGTTGAGTAGGACCCTGTTCTTTCTGTGGTTCCAGAACATTCAGGCCTATACAACCCCAGGCAAAACTGTGAGCTTAGACACTCTTGAGATAAGTCACAGCATTAACTGTGATTCTAGAACCTTCTGCGACACAGGGCCGCATAGGCTCCCCTTGCCACCACAGCCTTTAGGGAGGGATCTTCAGTGTCTACCTGGCTCCTTGAGCAGGCAACAAGGACTCAAGCCCAGGCCCGTGTACTTGAGTACTGTGCCCGCTGAGAGGTCTCTCCATCCCTCAAAAATTTGCATGAAACTGTAAATGCCTAGTTGGGTGGTGGTGGCACACACCTTTAATCCCAACACTTGAGAGGCAGAGGCAAGAGGATCTCTGAGTTCAAGACCAGCAAGTTCCAGGACAACGAAGGCTACACAGAGAAACCCGGTCTCAAAACAAAATAAAACCTTGTAAATACATCTCTAGGTGACAAGACCCCCACCCCCCACCCCCCACGGCCCGGCAGCCTGGTGCTGGTCTTTACTGTGGACAGTCCTCTGCCAACCAGGGCTCTAAACCTCACATGGCTTCCAGGATATGCTCCAGTCTACAGAGCCTCTCTGGCCATCTAGGATCTGCTCTAACACAACCATCCTCTTTAGAGAGCTCATGGTTACTGGCAAACACTGTGTGTCAAATTTGGGAGTCCGGTTCTGGGCTGTTTTAGAACATTCTGGTCCCGTGTGAGAATGGACACTCACCCTCGGAGACGGCAGGGCATGAGGCCAGGGTCTCGGGGCTCTGGAAGATAGAAGAGGGGCAGGGCTGAGTTCCCCCGGCAGCACTGCAGGCCGCAGGAGTCAGAGGTCAGAGGTCGGGCAGGTGTTACCTGGGCACTTGCAGGTGGCTCCTGCTGGGTCACCAGCGGTGCTGTCTCCAGCCAGGGCTCCGGGGAGCTGCTAGAACTCCTGCTGTCTGCTGGCTCCGCGGCTGACATCCCCTCCATCCACCCCGGCAACCCCCGGTCCCCAGATGGGTCCTCCGGTGGCTGCAGCAAGCGGGGTGCAGTCTGTGGAGGATCCACAGGCCCTGGCTGGGCAGGCGAAGATGATTCAAACCTCAGCAGACCCAGAAAGTCACCCCCGCCAGCCTCAGCAGACAAGAGCCCTCCAGCGTCCACACTCTCCTGGGCCGTCAGGCCTTGGCCAGTGGCAATGTGCAGGGGACAGGGCTCTCCTTCTGGGAACGGGCCACCCAGGTCACCAGGCAGGGCTTCCAGTTGCTGGATCAGTTCCTGCACACCGGATGCGTCCAGCTCCATCTCATTCGGCGTGACAGGCCCTCCGGGCCCCGAGGCCCACTGGGTGCTAGTGGGCTGGTCATCAGAGGGCAGCTCGGGGCTTTTGGGCTCCTCCAAGTCCATGGCTGGGGGCCCTGGTGGGTGCTGGGGGGCTGACAGGAACTCCATGCCTGGGACCCTGTTCACGCTGGCATTGTCACCAGGCTACAAGACAAGGGCTGTAGGTGCAGATCTCTTAGGCAAGCCACGGTATTAGAGGTGACAGGTTCAATCCCACATGGGGCCTGCACAGGAGGAAAAGTCCCCATTTTACACAGGACCCACCCAAGAAATTAGGTTCTAGCCCCCAGAACTAGGGCTCCGGAATCAGAACTCAGACACCGGCCCTCGGAACTCGGACACCGACCCTCGGAACTCGGACACCGGCCCTCGGAACTCGGACACCGACCCTCGGAACTCGGACACCGGCCCTCGGAACTCGGACACCGACCCTCGGAACTCGGACACCGGCCCTCGGAACTCAGACACTGGCCTTGGGCCCTCGGACTCCGGCTCCAGAACGCAGGCGCTGGTCTCGGGTCGCCCCACGGGAGCCGTCCTGTCCCGCGCAGGCCGCAGCACCTGTGCCTCTGGCCCGGGCCAGGATGATGAGGTCAGTCTATCTATCCTTCCAGGAGACTCAGCAGCTCCCTGCGATCCGAGCTTTGGATCCGGATCCTCAGGCTGTGCCACTCCTAGGACTATTGCGCACGCGCTCTTCACGATGCCTGCTGGGAAATGTAGTTCTCTCAGCCGCTCTGGCCCGACAGGGTGCTCTAGAGTTGCAGCGGGGATATCAGACCATGGGTTCGAATCCCGAGACTCCAGGCACAAAGGAGAGACCCAAAGTGGTTTTCTATTCTAAAACTTGGGTTCGGATAACTTCCGGACGCAAGCAGCTGCAGTGGGACAAGGGAAGAAACCAGGAAGGGAAATAGACGTTGGAGTGTGATTTGAAGATTTGGGGAGAAAAGGATGGGTGTGGGCAGAAGTTGTTGAGGACAGACTTCCGGTTTGGGTCCCAGTAGGCATATATAGGAGTGCAATCTAGTTTTTTGTTTGTTTGTTTGAGACAAGATTTCTCTGTGTGGCTTTGGAGCCTGTCCTGGCACTTGCTCTGTAGACCAGGCTGGCCTCGAACTCACAGAGATCCGCCTGCCTCTGCCTCCCGAGTGCTGGGACTAAAGGCTGCGCCACCAACGCCTGGCACAATCTAGACTTGGGTGGACACTAGCCCATACATCTGTCCACAATAATAGTCCCTAAGCTTAACCGAAGGAGGGCAGCCGGTTACGTCTGTAGCCATGAGTCTGGAAGAGTCTAGCAAGAAGTCTCTTTCTTTCTCTGAGATTTATTCTTATTATTTTTAATTATATGAGTGTGTGCACAAGAGCGCCCTCAGAGGCTCTTAGAACTGGAGCCACTGACCTGGTGCTGGGGACCAAACCCAGGTCATCTACAAGAACAGCAAGTGTTCTGCAGTACGGAGCCATCTCTCCAGCCCCAGCAAGAGTCTATTTCTTCATGAGACACAGTCTCATGTAACCTAGGCTGACCTCGAGCTCCTGCCTCAGCCTCCCGATGCTGCCAACCTTGATTTCTGTGTTGCTAGAAAAGGAACCCAAGACTTCTACTGCGCACCAGTCACCCACCCCATTTTCTTCTTTCATTACAGGTTTCACTGTGCAGCACAGGATAACCTAGAATTCAGTGTGTAGCCCAGGTGGTCTAGAACTCACAGGGATCCTCCCGCCTCTGCCTCTCGAGTGCTGGTTTTATGGTGTGCGCCGCCACCGCCTGGCTTTACTGTTCTTATTTTTAAGCTTTCAAAAATTCCACATGGGATAAAAGCATGAACTTATTGTGACATTTTAAGTAGATAAGGATCTAAGGACAAGAACTGATTGAAATATTCTTTGAACCGGTGAGAGTCACTAGACTGCTAGGACTACATTTCCCAGAAGGCCATAGGCGCCTCAGCGCACTAAAGTGGCCCTGGAGCGCTGACGTAGCACGGAAGCATGCACATGCGAGCCGGCGAGCACGATGGCGGCCACCCGTCTCCTTGGGGCTTCCCGGATGTGGGCCCACTGTCAGCTCCGGGTTCTCCCGGTCCCCGGAGGACCTGGAAGACCCTTCGTCCGGGACTACGCCAAGAAGCCAGGTGAGGCGGCTCCGGAGGAACCAACGTGGGCACGGTGGGAAGCGGAGAGAGGCGGTAGTGCGCAGGCGCGATGCCTGGGGAGGCGGGGCTCCGGGAACTACTGCGCGCAGAACGGGGCGGAGCGGTGCGGGCGAGAGTCACGGCCGTCAGCGCGCAGGCGCGGACACTAAGACACCAAACACCGCCTGCAACAGTTATTGTTGCTGTTATTGTTACTGTTTTCATTAGAAATAAATAACGTGGGTGGGAACAGTGTGTAAAGCGCTTTCCGCGAAAGCCGGGCGACCTGAGTTCGATCCCCAGAACCCACGTAAACGTGGAAGGAGACGATGGACTGCACCCACGCGCTTAGTGGCCCCCACGAGGTAATAAGTCTTAAAAATTGCGTTTTGAGCCAGGCGGCGGTGGCGCACGCCTTTAATCCCAGCAATCAGGAGACAGGTAGGAGGCGCTCTGTGAGTTCGAGGTCATTCTGGTCTACGAAGGCGAGTTCCAGGACAGCCAGAGCTACCCAGAGAGACCTGTCTTTTTTTTTTTTTTTTTTTTTTTTTTTTTTTTTTCAAAAAGGGTTTTTTTTTTTTTTTCTCAAGACAGGATTTCTCTGTGTAGCTCTGTAGACCAGGCTGGCCTCGAACTCACAGAGATCCGCCTGCTTCTGCCTCCCGAGTGCTGGGATTAAAGGCGTGCGCCACCACCTACGGGCTGAAACCCTGTCTTGATAAACAAAAAAAGTTTTCGTTTTTGATGTTCCAGGAGAGCTGCATAGTGATATCCTGTCTCAAAAATAAAGCTTTTTTGTTTGTATTTTGGCACAGGGTGTCTTGTATGCCAGGCTGGTCTACACTGAGACATCTCTCTAGTCTCTGTGTTCTATTGTTTTGCGAGTGGGTCTGATAATCCTCAGCCTCAGTTCCATAATTCTGGGGTGACAGGCATGTACCACCTTGCCACCATCACTGAGTGGAAGAGAGGCTCAGTGGTGAGTGCTGGGCGTTTAGGCACACAGCCTTGGGGCAGAACGACAAGGGACCCCAGTATATACAGAGATATCTGGGGTGCTCTGCACCAGGAGGCCTCATGGAGGGGGGCACAGGAGAGCAGGGCTGGGCAAGCTGAAGTGACCTGGACTCTCACCCTGCAGTCATGAAGGGCACCAAAGGCACCAAGGGTAGTGTGGCCACTGAGGCCCTGAAGGACCCGGAGGTATGCACAGACCCTGCCCAGCTAACCACACACGCCATGGGGGTGAACATCTACAAGGAAGGCCAGGATGTGGCCCTGAAGCCAGACTCAGAGTACCCAGAGTGGTGAGTGTGACTGTACCTCATCCCAACCTAATCACCTGGCCACCTGGCCTTCAGGAACACAGTACTCAAAGGCAGCTCTGGGCCACCCCAGGGCCCACTGGTCTTGCCTACCCTAGTCCAGGAAGCTTCTGAATGTCAAGCCCCAGTGTTTCTTCTTGCAAATGGGGAGACTGCACAGTACCATGTGTGTCCCCGAGGGCTTCGGGGAGAAGGGGACAGGGACTGTGTTTTGCTTGACAAAGATTTATGGCTGATAACCTGGCTATCCACACCTGGGTCCTAGGGACCCAAAGGATTGCCCCAAAGCAGAAGTCTTTCCTTCTTGGAGCCAGCTGGGACCCAGACAGCTAGCTGAGCAGGCAGGGTGTCGTGAGAAGCAGGGACAGTGGGGTACAGGCTGGGCTATCAACAACATTTCAGTTTGGGCTTCCACTGGGAGCTAGGACCAAGTGGGTAGAAGGTGTGGCCTGTGCAAAGTTCCTGGGGCAGGACAGAGCCTGTTCTCTGGGAGTAGGTAGGAAGCCTGTGGCTGGACATGAGGTAGGGACAGCCCTTAGTATTGTTCTCTGCCATTGAAAACCAGAATTGGTAGGGTTCAAAGCCCAGCTCGACACTACCCACACCCCAGTGCTGTGAGGTGGTCTTGTAATTCTGATCCTCCCCTAGGCTATTCCACATGAACTTGGGTCCCCCCAAAAAACTGGAGGAGCTGGAACCCGAATCCCCAGAGTACTGGCGGCTGTTGCGCAAGCAGAACATCTGGCGTCACAACCGGCTAAGCAAGAACAAGAAACTATAGTGCGTGGATGGGACACCTCACAGGAAGCTGCCCTGCCAGGGCCAGCAAGAGGGCTCAGGGGGAAAGGGGCTTGCTACCCAGCTCAAGACCTGAGTTCAGTCCCCAGAACTCGCATGGCGGAAGGAGAGAAATGACTGCTGTACATTGTCCTCCAACCCCCACGTGTATCTTTGCAAGTGCAGGACATATGTGTAGACACACTATGAGCAGACACGAATAAAAGACACCATGGCAGTGGGTGCACATTACTGCCCCGTGAAGCCACACCTGGGAGTATGCTGAGTGTATGGACATGGTACACCCTGGCCTCTGCTCTGCAGCTGGCTGTGGCCTCATCTCCAGACCTTGATGGGCAGGTGGGCTGGTCCTGGCCTGGCACTCCAGGCCTTCAGGCCAGGCTAAACCCATGGGCTTCAACTGTGAGGTCTCTGACTCGACCTGGTCTGGGGCCCTCCAGGTGGGTATCACTTGTGGAAAAGGGGTGGCATTGGCCAGCTGCATAACCCTACTGACCACCAAAGGGAGCTTGGCACAGGACTGACTGCCTTTCCCTTCCATCTGGGACAGGGGTGTGGCTTCTTTGTCCATCATTGGACCCCAGGGCTGGACCTGTCTTTGCCACTTAGGTCATGAGCCAGCCTGACGTGAGCAGGTGGCCCAAGCTCCTCTTGCCTCCCCAGGTGGCTCTTTGAGCAGCTGAACGAGAATGGGTGAGCTTGTGGTACTGGGAAAGTTCCTGGACAGGACAGTGCAGCAGGCCATGTCAACACCAAGACGACAGGGACACGTCCCTTTCCATGCTTGTGGGACCCATTGCATTGTTCTGGTGTCCTGTATCTTGCTGGAGGGATTTGAGGCCCTGTCCATACAGCAGTAGCCCTATGATGCCTGGCAGGCAGAGCAGCAAGGGCACAGCCATCTTACTCCAAATACCTTATGGCTCCATGAGGATCTGGGCTGATGTCCCTGATTCTTCCCGCCTGCTTCTAGCCCTCAGCCACAGCTCCATGGCCTCTACCACTGGGAACACAGCCTGGCCAGGACTTTCACACAGGCTGTGCCCTCTGCCTGAACCACCTGAACCCTGATCTCAGGGCTGAGTAGATGGGGTAGGTGCCTGGGTGTGGTTGGATGGATGAGGAAGAGAGCAGATGGATGAGGAGATTGGGGCATGTGTGGTTGGATGGGAGGTCTGGATGGTGGGTGAATGGTGGCTGTGTCAGTGATGGGTTGATGGGATGTGAGGTAGACCGCATCCTGTCTGATATCCTCTTGATGTCACAGCCTTTGACTCCCAGCTTGGCTCTGCATTGGTGTCTGGGATTCCACAGAAGAAAAGCACCTTGGCCTTGGATCCAGAAAACTCTGGGTCGCCTCTGCACCCTGCCACCTTCTCTCAGGTCTCTGTCCCTTGTGTAACATGGACATCCTATTCACTCACTCCACACCCTGAGATGGGATATGATCTGAGCACCCCAGCTTCACACCCCCTCATGCATGGAGGTGACCTGTTAGGCTTGCTTTTGTAGCGCCTCCATTAAAGGACACAGTGACTTCAGCTCCCCAGCAGGTGGCACAGAAGAGAGGATGAAGGAAGTAGGGCCCTGGTTGTTGATGACAAGTGGGTGCTTCAGGTAGGTAGAGTGGGCAGGGACTTAGGGCAGTATCACGGGCATCAATAATCACATGGACTCTGAGGACCATGGGGGCAGGGTGACATAGCCACACCAAATGCAGGGAGCAGGCTGTGCAGGTCTCTGATGGCCCAAAGCAGTGGGTAGTGGACACGTGGGCATTACAGACACACGAAAGTACGAAGTCCTTCCAATTGCTCTTTATGGGGTATCCTGGGTGTGGGGGTCCCAGGGGCCACAGAGCCTTTATTCTGGCCAGTCCTGGCCCTGCAACCCTGCACTTGTGTCCTCTTGCTCCCTGCTTCAGGTGTCAGGGTTCCTGGCTCCGTGGAAGAGCTGAGCCCTCTGCTTCCTGTCCCCCAAGGGGAGCTGTGGCACCTGCACTGCGGAGCTCGCGGCCCAGCTTCTCTGCTATTTTTCGGAAGGGAGGTCTGCGTGCAGGCTCTGCCTCCCAGCAGCTACCCATGAGGGTGTGCACGGGGCCTGGGCAGCCATCGGGAGGCTCCATGCGGTAACCCTTCTCCACAGCCTCTGAAACCTCCTTCAGTGACTGCAGACACAGGGCGTGTAGCATGGGTGGGGAGATAGCAGCATAGGACGCACAGGCTGCCCCTCCCTAGGGGACTGCTCACCATCTTGGGGTATGGAGCTCTTCCATATGAGAAAACTTCCCACAGCAGTACCCCAAAACTCCACACGTCTGATTTGCTGGAAAATCGCTGTAGGGGCAGAGGTCAGGGTGAGCGGGTTCACTGTGGCCTCCCTGGACACAATCCCAGGCTACTCTAACCCCTCCATGCTAAGCCCATGGATGCTTCAGAGATGGGATGGGATATCAGCGGCTGAGGGAATGCACCAGGAGGAATTCTGTGGGTGTCGGGCTCACTGGAGAGGCAGCCATTTCCCCTCAAAGCTCAGAGCGGTCAAGGAATGTGCACAGGGTCACACAGCACAATCACAATATCAAGCTCCATTTGAAGAACCCCAAAACCCCAGAGAGCGGTGGAACACTGCTCACCCCGTTCTTGAGAGCTTCAGGTGCTGACCACTTGACTGGCAGCCTGCTTGAGTCCAGCCCCTTCCGCTCGGCCTTGGCTAGGCCAAAGTCACTGACCTTGGCCACCAGGTCCTCAGAGATCAGTATGTTGCGAGCAGCCAGGTCCCGATGTACCAGCTTCTTGCTCTCCAGATACTCCATGCCCTCAGCAACGTGCCTGGGGATAGACATGGCCCGGTCACCCTCAGTCAGACCTCAGTTTCCCCTTCAACTTTGGGACCTACCTTCCTAGAAGGAAGGTCACTTACAGAGAAAACTGCAGGAGCTGAGATGTACTCACGAGGGCGCGGCCCCTAGTGCGCAGGAAGTTCACCAGGTTGCCCTGTTTGGGGGAAGAGACCTGGGGGTCTCCAGGCTGTTGGACCGCCCTTGCCCACCCACCCTTCGGCCGCCCACACACTTTGCTCACGGCCCGACCACCCGTCTCCTCCTCCACACACCTTGCTCACATGCTCCATGACAATGTACAAGCCGTGGTGCAGGATCACGCCCAGGAGTCGTACCAGGTTCCTGTGCTGCAGCTTTCTGGGAGTGTGCGGTGGGGGTGCAGGGTGGGAAGTGAGCACACACCCGGGCCCTCAGCCCCAGGGCCCCCTCCCACCCGGCCACTCACGTCATCACTGCTGTCTCATCCAGGAAGGCCTGGGCTGTCACATCACACTTGATATTCTTCACAGCCACCTTCTGCCCCAGGTACTCACCCTGCAGGACAGCTGTGGACGGGGACAGAGCTCAGGACCCACCAGCAAGACAGACATACAAACGGACCTGCTGACATTCCTGCCTAGAATCCCCCAAAGTGAATCTGGGGGTGTGATCAGGGTGAAGCCCCGCCTAGAATTCCCCCAGTGAGGGGCTGGGGGTGTGACCTGGGTAGAGTATTGTCTCTAATTTCAGGAGGCCTTGTTCCATCCCTGGTCCCAAAGAGAGAAATAAATAATTAATGCAAATACAGTGGCTGTCTCATTATTCAGAATTCAAATTTCTGTTCCATGTAAAAGCCCACAGGTCCTGCCCATGTTTGCATAGTTTCCGGCTGCTCGGGATGGACAAGGCTGGTGGACTGACAAGAGCTTACCACCCTCTGATCTAAGTCCCAGGGTAATGCACACAGGGAAGGCATTCTAAGCAGAGCTCCTAGGAGGATCCTGGGAGGTGAGCTGGGGCTGTTGCCCTAGTGCCTGACAACGCTCGCCTGTCCTGCACTGTCCAGCAGTGTGCTCTGTGACCCTCCTCACCTCCAAACTCCCCCTCTCCAATCTGTGCTCCTAGAGTCAGGTGCTGCAGGTTGAGTAGCCAGCCAGCTGCAGGGACAGAGAGACAGGGTCAGAGCTGGACAGGAGTCCTTCCTTCCCACCAGCGAGATGTGGAAAGCCAGCATCCCCACAGCTGTGCACACCCCCCAGCAGTTGCCCCAAGGATGTATGGGGTGGACACCTCACTCCTGGTACAAATTACAATCCTGCAAGCTGCAGGCTGTCCAAGGAGATCATCAGAACTCAATCCCACCAGGTTCCCCAGGCTTCAGTTGTGGCTCCAGGACCTCCCTCGATGGACAGGGACTGTGGCTGCTCTGTGCCCCTCCAAGCCTGCTCTTCCCATTACTGATCTCCCCAGGATACATGCAGATCAAGAGGCACACAGGTTCTGGAATATTCCTGAACATGTCTCTGGCAGGCTCTGGCATGCTGTGCAAACCCCGCTGTTGCTTCTGAAAGCCCTCCTCTTTCCCCCCAGAGCTCTCTAATTCCAGACTCTGAAGACTGAAGCAGGACAGATACCTTGCTCCATCATGGGCACAACTCTGGGACTCCAGATCCCACAGGAGACATATGACAATTTGACTTAGAAGAGTCAGGGGCTTAACCAAGACAAGGCTGGGGTGGGAGGCAGGAGGCCGGGGTGGTAGGTGAGGCCGAGTCTGGGCTGCTGTGTATGAGATGATCTCTCCTTAGTGGCTAGCATACCCTTTGCAAGCTCCTCCTCGGCTGACTTGGTGCCCTGTTTCCTCTTTGGCTTCACCAGCTTGGTGCAGATGGCACCCTTGTCCTTGGTGTAATGCTGTGGGGACCAGTAGTCATGAGCCTCTGGCTCTAGGGACCCCTGTCCTCCCTGTCCCTCCCCCTCCAATCGACTCAGTGGGGTAAGCAGAACCTCCCAGGTCCAGGCTAAGATGAGTGTGTTTCCATGGCAACAGTGGAAGGTGCAGAATGCAGAGTGAGGGGCTCCCTGGAGAAGTGGCTCCAGTTCTAGAGACAAGTGAGGCTCCTGGGGACCCATCCACCTTTCCACCCCTGCTGCCCCAGCCACAGGTCACCTCCACCATGTCCATCAGATTACAGAAACAGACAGCCTCATCAATGGTAAGGTGGCCATCACGATGCAGGACACGGTAGTGGATGACATCTCGGCCGAAACTGACACACAGGACATAGTCTCCGGGGTGACGAGCTGATTCCCGAACAAGAAACAGCCCGTCCTCAGGTGGCTGCAGCTGCTGTACCGCTTCCTGGCCTGAGATCTTTCCATGGAACCATCTGTGGCGAGCCGTGGAGAGACAATGCCACATGGGGCAAGGATGGCTGAGGCCCTGATGTCACCCACCCCACCAGGGTGCCACTCACGGCATGAGACTGAGCTTGGGGTCTGTGGAGAGGGCCTCCCGCTGTCGAAGAGCAGCAGCTGCCAGTAGCCCCTCCTGCCCACTGCTGTGGTGCTTGGCACGGTACCAACTTTTGTCCTGCACGATGGGGAGGGGATGGAGGAAGGGAAGGAGCAGGTGTCTCTCTGTCCTGGAATCCCTAAGTGCACCCCAACCACCCTTCAGCTCCCTCCTCACCTCACAAGCCTCCAAGATGGTCACCATGTCACCCTTTCGGAAGGCCAGCTCACCCGGCTTAGGGCGTGAGTTTTCACACTTGGTCATACATTGAGTCCCAGGGGCCCAGCGCCTCTAGGGATGAGATGGAGGCAGGGGTGTCAGGGACAGGAGGGAGAAGTGGACATTGGGAGGGACAGGGAGACTGGGAGAAACTTTGGGCTGGTGGGGAGAGGACAGGACAAGGAAGTAGTGAAGACACGGGCCTGGAGCCTGGCACTTAGGTGACTGAGACAGGAGGATTCCAGACCAGCTAAATAATGCTGGGTGTGGTAGCTCACACCTGTAATCCTAGAACTTGGGAGGCTGAGGCAGGTGGATTTCTGTGGGTTTGAGACCAGTCTGGGCTACATACTGAGCTCCAAGCTAGGCATCTCTATATAGTGAGACTCTGTCTCAAAAGCAAAATAAAAAAATAAATAAAAGCCTGGGGGTGTCTAATAGACAGAAAAGGGGACAGAGGGTGGAGGGAAACTGAGTTAGAGACCAGAATCACCGGCACATGTAGAGGCCTGGGTTGCCTCTGGCCGGGTCCATGGGGACTGGGTGGAAGCTTGCCTCGGGGTGCATGCCCCCACCCCACGAGGACAGTAGAGGAAGGTCTGGTGACTTGGGGCCCCACACTCACGGTTGGCATCCTAGCTGCGGCAGGCGAGGGGTGCCAGGCTCGGAGGAAGCGAGGGCTCACCTGTGGAGGAGTCAGTGTCATGCTTGGGGTTGTCCCCAGGTCCAGCTCCTTCCTCTGGGTCTGGCAGGGTGGAAGCAGCAGCCAGGAGGCCAAGAGCCCCCCCTCAATCATCCCTCAGGTGGCTTAGGTCCTGATTCCCTCTGCAGCCCTTGGTTTGGGAAGTTATGGTTACCCGAGGAAGATCCTTAGATTCCCAGCCATCAAAGGCCAGCCATGAGACCCCGGAGTCTCTCCCTCGCCCTCGCCCTGCCATTGCTCGGGAAGGGAAACTGAGGCCCGGAGGCAGTAGTGGAGGGATCCGATGGCTCTGGTGGCAGCCAGGGCTGTGGGAGGGGGGCGGAGGACGGTGCCAGGAGCCCGGCCTGAGGCTTCCTCTTTTCTGGGCCATGGGCAGGGGCGGTGACTCAAGGTCATTCCTGGGAATCTGACCCTGGGTGGAGCCTGGGGAGGACGGGCTCCTGTGAGGCTCCTCGGGTCACCAGGAGTCACCAAGGAAGCATCTGGAAGGACCCACGCCACCCCAGCGTGGGCAGTGCAAGGCAGTTACTGCCCGGGTCCTGCTGGCAGGGGTCAGAGCAGGAGGTTGGGGTGCGCTTCTGGCCTCGGGCTCAGTGGGGTTTGCAGGGCTGCTGCGCGCAGGCAGAGGCGCACGTGCATCTGGGCACAGGTGCCACCCGGACACCCGCATGTGCGCGATACAGGCGCCTGCTAGACGTGGGCACCAGTGCCTGTCCCTGCGGCGCACACGGGCCCTGCAGTGATCACCGGGGCGCGCGCACTCAGAGACGCGCACGCCGCACCCAGAACAAAAAAAACAAAAAAAAAAAAACACCTTTTTGGCTCCCCCGCCCAGGCACCTCAAGGGGGGGCACACCCCCCCCCCCCCCCGGCCCCCCCCCCCCCCAAAAAAAAAAAAAAAAAAAAAAAAAAAAACAGCCTTCTGACGCCTCCGGACCAGGACCATTTTGGGGGTCGTACCCTCTCCACCCGCGCGCACGCGCTCACCTGCTCAGGGCGCGACCCCGGGAGGGTTCCCGCCAACGGGTCTTACGCCCCAAGGCTCAACTCGGAGCAACTTGCTCCGCTTCCTCATTTTGGGGCGAGGATGGAGGGGACCCGGCTCAGAGCCCCCGCGGGTCCTAGCGCCGGCCGTACTGCGGGCCGAGTTGCGATCTCCTCCTCCTCCGTCTCCCGCGCACCAGGCGGGATGCTGGGTGCCGAGTGCTGTGTGCCCGGTGTTCTCTGGGGCCCCGCTGAGCCTCGGCCTTCCGTAGCCCACCCCAGAAAGGCTGGGAATGCGAAATGGCTCGCGCACGCGCAGGTGCGAGAGAAGGAAGGAGCTCCCTGTCTGGGGAGGCGATCAAGGCAAGCAGGGCACAGCGGCCTCCACGCTGCAGCCTCCACTCCGGCTTCACTGTGAGCCTGGCCACTCACAGACAGATACTTCCAGAAATGCCAGGCACGCACTACTGAGGGGCTCTCAAATGTTCTCACAGAACTCAGGAGGCAGAGGCAGGTTTATCTCTATGAGTTCAAGGCCAGCCTGGACTACATAGAGAGCTACATGGTGAGACCCTGCCTCAAAAGAAGAAGAAGGGGAAGGGGAAGGAGGAGGAGGAGGAGGAGGAGAGGGGAGGGGGGGAGAGTGGGAGGAGGAGGAGGAGGAGGAGAAACCTATTTAATTAATTAAAAAGAGAGCAGGGACGCCTTGGGACAGAAATGCCCAGCACTGATGGATGTGACATTTCTGGAAGCCACAGGTCCCCAGCCAGGTGTGGGTACCCACTTAGGAATCACTGGCCAGAGAGGTCCAGAGACTGCAAACTTCTGGGTGATCCTATTGCTGAAGACACCACATGTCTGCATCACAGGCACCGACCTGGGGGCTCCCTCCCTGTTGTCACTGGTGCAGTAGTGGCCCAAGTTATGCACTAACCAGTTGTTTTCTGATTGGATCTGGCCCATCCTGCGCAGGCACCATTTGTGCGGCAGACATTCATGCCCAGGCCTGTAAACCAGACCAGAGCGCAAGGCTGGAGCACCCACCCGGGGAGGCCGGAGCACCCACCGGTCTTGGCAGACCTGCTGCTGCTATGCCAAATGGACTTTGTCCAGAGGTCTATTCTGCTACCTACAGTAAGAAAACATCCAGAAGACAGGCCTGAGACTGGGGGTCAGTGAATGGCACACTGATGTCACAGGTCTGTCATCCCAGCACTGGGGAGGTAGAAGCAACAGGGTCGGGAGTTAAGGTCAGCCTCAGCTACAGAGTAAACTTGAAGCCAGCCTGGGCTACTGAGACCCTGTTGAAAAAAAAAAGTTTGAAAAGCTTATTGTTAAAATGACACTGTCCCTGTGAGATGACGGGTGTGCACACGCAATTCCAAGCTTTTGGAGAGCCTGAGGCAGGAGAATAGAAAGACCAGGATACAGAGGGCCCTGCTTAAAACAAACTCCATAAACTGTAGCTGTATGCTCTGGGGTTGGCAGAGCTGGGTGCAGGCATCTGGAGTGTGGTTCTCTCCTTATCAGGCCCCGTGGTTATCCCAGAGACACTAAAGACCCATCTTTGTTGGTAAACCCTCACAGCTACTTGAAATAGATGTGCCATAACTGAGCAGAGGACACTTCACTTCAGGGAAATTCTTACCTACACTTGACAACGCTGACCACAACCCTGGAGCTCAGCTTCTGGACACTTGACATGGGGTGTGAGCATGTTAAGCAATTTTTCTGTTGCCACAGGAGTCTGGGGCCAGGCTTAGTGGGCACAGCACTTGCCTGGCGTGCAGGAAACCCTGGGCTCTACCCCAGCACCATATAGAGCAGGTGTGGTGGTGTGTGACTGTCATCCCAGCAATGAGGAGTCTGAGGCAGGAGGGTCAGGAGTTCAAGGTCAGCCTCAGCGACCTGGGCTGACTATGTGAGACTCTAAAGAATGAATATAAAATGCCCTAACACTTCTCTTTAAAACAGTTTCACTCATAACCCAGGGTAGCCTAGAATTTGTCATGTTCCTGCCTCAATATCCTGAGTATGGCGATGACAGATGTGTGCCACCATGTCCAGCTCTCCATATTTTTATAAAGCCACTACCTTCAGCAGTGTCAGGAGCCATTTGCTTCCCTGTACGAGGAGGAGGCTTTGTGCCTACCTTGCAGATGGAGAAACTGAGGTCCCGGGACTCACCACCATCAGTCAACGCACTGGGACACCTAAGAGTCTAGGTTTCCATGGAGATCACTCCTTGCAGCCTGCATCCCAGGCCAGACCCTCCTGCCCCAATTAGCAAGCCTTTAAATTTAGCTCTGCTTGGTGCTTCTCGTGCTCGGGGACTCCTGGATTCACGGAAGGACAAAGCTCTTTTTGAGACCCAGTTGCTGTCAACCTTCACCCTCCTCCTTAGATTTTGAGACAGGGGTTCACTGTGTAGTCCAGGCTGGCCCAGGACTCCTGGTCATACTATACAAAGCACACAAAGATAGGAGTTGGCTCCCTGTCATGTCTGCTAAAGAAAAATGGGGATCAAAATGTGCTCACACACCGGGCGTTGGTGGCACACGCCTTTAATCCCAGCACTCGGGAGGCAGAGGCAGGCAGATCTCTGTGAGTTCGAGACCTGGTCTACAGGAACTAATTCCAGGACAGGCTCCAAAGCTACACAGAGAAACCCTGTCTTGGAAAAACAAACAAACAAACAAACAAAAATGTGCTCACAGCCAACCCACACTTATCGTGTCAAAAAACCAGCAAGAGGGAGGGCCCAGAGGGTAAGGCTGTTCCATGCCTATACACTCTCTGTGTGACACACGGTGAAGAGAGGCTCCACTCCTGAGGGTTGGTGTCTGACCACCACACACACACACACACCAGCACTGTAAACAGATACACCTTGTTGTTGGTTGTTGTTTTGATTTTTTGACCCAGGGTTTCTCTGTGTAGCTTTGGAGACTGTCCTGTCACTCGCTCTGTAGACCAGGCTGGTCTCGAACTCACAGAGATTCTCCTGCCTCTGCCTCTCTAGTGCTGGGATTAAAGGCGTGCGCCACCATGCCCAGCTCCATTATAAAATTTTAACAAATGCCTATGACATAAAAGTCACCATTTTACCCAGTCTCAGTTCCACTGTCCAGCTGACTCTCTCTCACTGCAGCCAACACATTGTCCCCAGAACTGAAACTTTGTCCCCAACACACACCAACTTCATCCCCTCCCCTGCCCAAGGCTCTCACCGAACCACTTCCTGTCCCTCTGGGTCCAATGATGCCAACCCTGTGGTGTGTGGCCCATGTCACTGGGCATCCTGTGCTCAGGGGTGTTGGAACAGGGGTTAAAATGCCCTTCATGGCTGTATAATATTCCAGCGAGTGGCTGGACCACAACATGTGTGCCCATTTGTTCCTTGGAGAAGTCTTTGGTGTCTCCTTGACCAGTGACAATCACACGGCATTTTATTTACAAAATGTCAGTGAGCATGGGGTGTGGAGGTGGAGGACTGTATGCCCTGCTCCTGAGGAACACCAGTCCTCTGGCTGGCTCTTACTTCGAGCCTCGGTGGTTATCACTTTTCTTATGGTCGGTAGTGACCTTGCACACACAACTCATCTTCACGACCCCTCCTGCCAGGACCATGGTCCCGCCCACATGCGTGCGTGCGTCATCTGCCCACACTCACCTTGTCTCCTAGCAACGCTCCCCTGCATCCGCAGCTGTGATCCAGCTCTCTCTCAACACCCTGGCGCTCGATTTTCTGCCTTGTCTGGGGTCTAGCCTTGTGCCCCTGGCCCTCGGCTGGCCTGCTGAGGTGTCCCCTGCTCCGAAGGGACAGGACTTGGGGCGGGAGGGTCAGTTGCTACGGCTCTTCGCGGCTTCAGGGAGCTGTGCAGCCCAGATGGGACTCAATCTGGACTGAACTTACTAAATGTGGGTTTCCGCTGTGTAGAAGCTCCGTGGTTTGGGGTTGCTAGGCGGATCCGACTTAACTCTTTGTCACCTGGTGTAGACTCATCTGCCTTCCAGGGAGACTCGGGTGGGCTTGGTGGAGGGGTTCAGTGCAGAGCGGTGGGGCGTGGGTGCTTTTGCGTTCACTGAGCCTGGCCACCAAGGTAGTGGCCACCAGGTCCCCTCCACCCGTGAGCTCTCCCAGCTATGAAGCACTGTGCCCCTTAACCTGCCACATAGATGCGGGCTCTGGGCGCTGCCAGGATGAGGCTTTCTCCTTTAGTCCCCTAGATGTGCCTAGTCTAGCTAGACGCAACCCGCGGCAGACACTTTTTCCGGGTGTGGGGTGCGGAGGTTTTATCGGATTTATCTGGTGTAGGCGCTGGGCAGGGGTGGGTGGCGGAGCAGAGGCTGAGAGGGAGGATTGCAGGCTCTGATGGAGATTCGGGGTTCCATTGGGAGGAGGCACTCTAGGAGAAGGGGGAAACTGGAAGGCAGTTTTTCCCAAAGCCTGGGTCCTGAGCATCTCCCAGGCACCTCCTCCAGGAAGCCCTAGCAGAGTGCTGCTGACCGGGACCTTCCTAGGCTGGAACTGGGAAGAGTCTGTGTGGGACTGTGTAGGGGGCAGCCATGGGGCTGCTCAGCCCCTGGAGCTCAGCCCATGCTCATGACGCAACCTGGTGTGGGGAGGCTGAGGCCTGTGGGCACCCCAATCCCAGCCCAGAGTGAAGGACACGAAGGCCACACCTCACAGGAACAGATCTGCTTTATTCCCCACCCCAGCCAAATTCTGGATGATTGTACAGACTCTGGGCATTGCACCATGTGTGGGCTAGCCTTTAAAAGCCACAGGCAAAACGGAGCAGGGTCGAAGCTTTGGGTGGTACCGGGGGGTTCGGGGTGGCCTAATGGGGCACAGCTTTTCCCACAGCCAATGGTCTGCAGGGTGACCTGGGGTGGAGGGGGCTCTGTTTGCAGAAGGCACTCAGTGACTGGGGCTGGGGTTCCACTGTGGGGTGACAGTGTCCCAGGGGCCATCTGTGCCCTCACAGCTGAGGTGGAGGAAGGTATCTGGGTGAAGGATATGGTTGGGTTTGGGTCTGGGAAATCCCATTCTGTGCTCTCTGCCCCTCCAACTCCACTCTGTGACTTCTAGAATCTTCCAGGCCACCCTTCCTGGCATCTCAAGAAAGCAATTCAGATCCCCCACCTGCTTCTTATGACATCAGGGGAGTTTCAAAATGTAATTAGTACCAAGAAATGGAGTTCACTGCTATGTGGCTGGGGGTGGGGTGATAGCCATGGGCATGGGGATCACCACAGTGGGAGCCCCAGCATTGTGAATAAACCTACAGATCCAATGGTCAAAGGTGTCCGCATGGGGGGGGCAGCAACCAGAGGGCCCACACCAGTTCAGGCCTGTGGTGATGACTGGCTCATAGCAGTCCAGCTGTGCCCTGCCGGCCCCGCTTCCTCTCCCCGGCTCCCTCCTGGGCCTGACTAGCCTCCCTTATCCTCTTCCGGGCCCGGGCCCCAAATCTGGTCCGTGGGGGTAACTGTTCCATGTGAAGGACCTTGTGTATCTGTCGGAAGGCCACGAGACGCAGGGCACGCTGTGGACAGCAGGGTCCTGTTAGTGTGAGCCAGTCAGGCCTGGGGATTCAGGCCTGCTGTGTGCAGGGACCAGGGAGCAGGGCTGTGCTGTTTGTTATGATTCTGCTGCCAGGCATGTGGCCTGGGGAATGCCACCTCTTGCTGCTGGCACAGGCTGGCATGGAGCCCACCTTTACTTCCTGGCTAGAGGGACCCTGGATTCCATGTAAGACACCTGACTCCCGTGAAAGTGTGTGGAACTTTGAGCATGTGTGGCTGGGATACTTCCTTTGAGGCTGGTGCTCGTGTATCCCAGGCTAGCATCAAACTCTCTATATAACCAAGGATAGCCTCGAACTTCTGATCCTCCACTTTTACCGCTGGGGGTAGAATTTAGGGACCTGTGTATGACAGGGGAGCACAGTAGGCTCCTGTGGCCCAGGCCAGTCAGTACTGCCCTCTGGAGCTGTTTGTCACCCCCAGCCATACTTCTGGGCCCAGACTCTGTGGGAGGAGGATGGGGACCCATGTACCTGTGCGCTGGCCGTTAGGTCTTCTCGCTGCTGTGGGGTCATGGGCTCCAGGGCATCCTGTGGCCCTTTCTCACAGGGATCCTGTAGCCCTGGGCCATCTGAGCCAGGGAGAGGGTGGACACCACTGTGAGGAACTGGTGGGACACAATGGACCACCCTGCCATGGCAAGTGACTACATTTGTAGACTGTGCGGTGTCTGCAGTGACCCACAAGCCACATTGGGCAAGGTCTGCCTTGGTAACATACAGTTACCCCTGGGGGCATTGCATGCCCATGCCCCGGTCTGTGAAACAGCCCAAAGGACAGGCCTGACCTTTGACTTGCCTTTCCTACTCAGAATCACCCATGTCTCCAGGAACCCTATAGTTACACCCTTCCAGGGCCCACTCCTGTCCCTTCAGAAGGCACTGTGACACTTTCTGTTCCTCAAACTCCTTATGGAGCGGAGGCTGACATTGAACTCCTGACCCTCCTGCCTCAGCCTCCCAAGTGCTGTGGTGACAGGTGTGTGCCTGGACTGTGAAGTACTGGGGATGGGACCCAGGGTTTTCAGGCATGCTAGGCGAGTGCTCAGCCCCATGTTGTGACTCCATAGTCATAGTCACAGCAGAGTCCTGTGGCTTCTTCCCTTGAACCTCAGTCATGGTTCGGATGCACTTGGAGTAGGCAGGCACCAGCAGCACCAGCCACGGAAGATGCAGCCAGTGGTATGAGTGGTGGTGGCACAGAGTGACTACTGGGGCAGCCCTAGCTTGGGGATGAGACAGACTTAAGCCCTTGTCACCCTGTTGTGTCCCTAGAGGATGGCGGCATACCTCTGCCCTTGGTGCTGTAGGCTGTGGGCCACATGTCCAGCATGTGTGGGTGACCCTTTTTTGTGACTCCCCCCACGCCATTCCTGTCCCCATCACTGACCTGTGAGGAGCGCACCTGTGGCCACATACTCCAGGACCCGCCGCATAGCATCCCCTGGGCTCAGGGGCCGGGGTGCACTGCTCAGCACCTTCTCCACCAGCAGTTCCATGGCCTGAAGCAGCAGAGGGATGGGGGTGGGGGCACAATGGGACACGCTGTGGCTTGGATGGAGACAGGGATGATAAGCAAGGCCAAGCTGGAGTACATTTCTGTTGCCGGGACAGGACAGGTTCAGGGTCCCATGATGTGGGGAGTGAGAGGCCTAGGGACACCCTGGCTCCTCACCGTGATACTGACAGGTCTGTGTGACAAAGCACATTTCCCTGGGACACCTGCATTTGCATAGGGTCTGGACTTCACCCCCTGCCCCAGTTTGGCGTTTAAGGTGACAGTCAAACATGACAGTGACCCAAGGTGTCTTCTCATTTGAGGGGCCTAGTGACACAAGTCTTGTAAAAGCTCCCGTCTGCCCCCTCTGGGTAGCCAGGTGCTGAGCAGAGACCTGGCTGGTCCCCACTAGTGGTCTCTCCTGTCCCCTGAGGCCTTACCCAGGCAGGCAGAGCCCCCCAGGGGGGCAGGCAGCGACATAGCTCCCGCAAAACCCTGATGACAATCACACATGGCTGCAGGCCACTGGCTCGAGCCTTGGGGAGGAAACACACTGTTGGTCAGTGGGACTCTGGGATAGACTGTGGAGGGCGACTGTCCCCACTTCAGCCACCCCATGCTGACCTGGAACCACTTGGCATGACGGAGGGCTGCCAGGGTCTCAAGGCATCTCTCCCGGTCCAGGACATCCTCTGGGTCAGACAGAGAGTCTTGCAGTCCTAGAAGGGACAGGACACTGAGTCCCTTCCTGCTGAGCCACAGCCTCACAGGGTGGCCTCTGCATTGCACACACTCAGCTTCCTGAGTGCTGGGATCAAGGGCTGACACTATGTCCAGCACCTACAATATTTGTGTCTAATATTAGACATTGTTGTCTAGTACTGTCTAATATTAGACAATATAATCTAACATTAGATGATATGCTATTAAAGTAGGTGGCAGCCCTGCAGGTCTCAGGCCTGATCACAGGGAGGGGCACTGTTTCTAAATTACACAGGCTGGGCGTCGGGGAGGACTTTCTAAGCATGTCCAAAGGTCCTGAAACATCAGCCCTTAGCTCCATCGCACCAGATTTGACCCCATGTGACCCCACATGACCCAGAGATACTGAGGCCACTGGGCCTTCCTGCCCAGAGCAGGGTGTGTCTGCTGCACCCTGGAGACTCAGGAGAGCAAGTTGGGGCATACCTCGTTTTACGGAGGGGTCTTCACGCATCAGAGGTGAGGTAGCAGACACGGTGACCTTCACCCCGGGCTCCACGCAGGCCGAGATAACAATGTTGGCATCATGGTCAGATGAGACTTCATACTTGTCTTCTGCCACTATCTGGGTGTAAATATGACATGAGGCCACATGACTCCAGCAGAGCGCCTAGTGTATACAAGTAGGTAATACCACTGGCATGTGCCCATCTGTTCACCCCTGAGTGCCCGCTGCTAGAGGGAGGGCCTGTGTTGGGAACTCATATGTAACTTAGGACCCACAGGGGGGAGCAAACCTGGAAACACTGAGGAGCCTTTATATGTAAAGAGTACCTGTTGCTCAACAAGCAACTGAATAGAAAAACAACTGGTTAGAAACTGGTTAGATAAACAAAAGACCAGCAGAAAAGGAAGGAAAACAAATGGCCCTTTTCACCCCTCTGCTCAGACAGAAGGAAACTGTCAAGCTGCCACTGATACCTGTGAGTACAAAGTCCTGGATTTGTGTGTGTGTGTGTGTGTGTGTGTATGTGTGTGTGTGTGTGTGTGTGTGTGTGTGTGTGTATGTGGTGTGCTGGTACTGGGAATGGAATAGAGACCAGAGGCCTGCCAGTGCTCACCACTAGATCCCAGGCCTAGTCCTGGCTACAGGTTGCCATCTTCCTGCCTCAGTCCCTGGAATGACAGGCGCACAGCCAATTCCTTTCTTTTATGTGTGTCAGGCCAGAGACTGAAGTCAGGTTGTTTCTCAATTGCTATTCCACCTTGTTTTTTGTTTGTTTGATTTTTGTTTCTTTGTTTTGGTTAAAGAGACAAGGTTTCTCTGTATAGCCCTGGCTGTCCTGAAACTGGCTCAGTAGACCAGGCTGTCCTTGAACTCAGAGATCTGCCTGCCTCTGCCTCCCAAGGGCTGGGATTAAAGGTGTGCACCACCACCACCCAGACTATGTTTGGCTTTTTACATGGGTTCTAGAATTGGAACTCAGATCCCAATGCATATGGGGGAAGTGATAGAGCCACTCCCCATCTCTGTAGGTCTCTCTGTCCTCTGTACCTGCAGAGCCCGAGGCCCAGCCTTGCTCTTACCGAGAGCTCTCTGGGCAGCTCTTGCTTGATCCTCTGTAGGAGAGAGTGCGTGGGCTTCTTGGAGCACAGCAGGGTCAGCTGCACACTGTGGTCCCCACGCAGGACCAGCCCCTTGGCCAGAGCGCCAACCCGAGCCACACCCTTGAGTATCCTCGGTGGTGCAGGTGCCAGGGTGCTGAGAAGACAGAGAGGCAACACATGTCAGCAGGGAGGGGTGGAAGGGGCCCTAGGGTGCTGCACTGCTGAGCTCCTGGAACCAGGCCCCTCTGCAGGGGATGCTGGCTGATGGGAAATGAAACATCCCTTCATCCCCAGTATTCATCCTGCAGTCCTGTGTAAGGATCCCATCACCAGAGAGGCCAGACATCTACCTATCTGTTATCTATCTATCTATCTATCTATCTATCTATCTTTCTATCTATCCATCCATCCATCCATCCACCCATGATCTATTTATCTGTAATCTATCTATCCATCTCTCTATGCATCTATATCTTCTACTTACCTACATACCAATCTACCTATCTATACCTGAAACAAGTGCTCACCATGTAGCCCAGGCTAGCCTCACACTCACAGCAATCCTCCTGTTTCAGCTTCCTGAGTCTTGCATTCACCAGCCCCTACACATGGGGGTGGGGGTGGGGGTGGGAGAGACTGTCTCCATGAGAAGCCTTGGGGGAACTTGAGACAAAGTGGGTGGGACAGAGCTTTACCCTGTGGCACCTGCGGCTTGTGGTGCAGTACTAACCTATTAAGGCTGCTCTCCTCAGCCAGTGTGTCTGACACCAGTCTGAGGGCGCGTTCTGTGTGGGACACAGCTGTCTGGATGGCCTGCAGCTCCTCTTCGGTGGGGTAGATGGAAGCATGTTTACACATGACATGCCGGTCGTCGCTGCTCTCTGGCCGGCGCCCTGACTGTGGGGAGAGCCACCCTCATGAAGGGTGGACTGGGAACCAGACAGCCAGCCCTGGCAGGACTGTGGAGTGTGTAGAAGGCTCAGGCAGGCTGCAGAGAGCCTTAGCAGGTGGGAGGTGGCTGTGGCCAGTAGCTGAGCAGCTCCCACAAGGGAACACATGCCAGGGGCTTGGGTCTGGGTGGGGTGGCTTTCTGCTGGCAATGTCCTTCCGTTTGCAGGCCAGAGGCCAGGCCCCCAGGGCATGTCCCTAAGCAAGAGGTCAGCCTCAGGTCCCTACTCAGCCTGAGAACAGACATTTGTGGAGAACTGGAGGAAGTCACAGTGTGGGACAGACATGCATGTGACCTGACGCTTGGCAGGTGTGACATGCCATGCTGGACCCTGTGCCCTCTGAGCTGGCTCCTGAGGTCTGGTAGGGACTGAGAAGGTTCCCACATATAGCAACACCCGGCACCCACCTGGCGCCGGGAGGTGGCCATCCCTGGCTTGGCAGGGGTAACAGGCAGGGCCCAGGCAGGTAATCCGGGTGGGTGTTCATCAACCTGGGGCTGGGAGGGCTCCTTAGGCTGCCTGCTATGTTCTTCTTGCTGTCTGTTGTGACCAGGTGGGGAACACAGGGATGTGGTCACCAGATAACCTCACAGACACACTCCAGCCCTAGGGACCAGGTCACCACAGAGCAGGTCTAAAGGGTGAAGCAGGAGGAGATGCAGAGACTCCAGAGGAGGCGGGGAATCAGAGGTCAGTGGGGGACGTGGGGCATCAGAGATTAGGAGACATGGGGGGTTTCAGAGGTCAGGGGATGCCAGAGGTTGAAGGACTGTGAGGAGGCCAGTGGGGACATCATGGTCACCTTAGCTCAGAGCTCCAGCGCCGCGCATCCTCCAGCCTTGCCTGTGTCTGCTGTCGCTGCCTCTGCAGCCGCCTGACCAGCACCCTCTGCATGGGGCCGCTGGGCCGGGCAGCCACCGGAAGTGTAGGGTCCACTTTCTTCTGCAAAGGCAAAGCCAGATAGATAGTGATGCTGAGGGGACAGACAGACAGACGCGGCCACCTAATAGGCACAGAGGAGCCCAAACTAACATCCACCAGCTATTCTTACAGACTCAGCCCTACCAGAGCAGCCACAGAGGGAGGTGTGCTGAGGGGAACAGCAGGCAGCAAGCACTTCACAGCAGCCAAAATGGGGCACTTGGGGAAAAGTCCTGCCACTCACATTCACACTCTGTCCAGCTGACCCAAGCACCAGGCAGGACCACAAGTGCAGCTCCACAGAGACAGCCACCAAGGGGCATGCTCTGTCTGCCCAAGTTCAAGCCACACATGCTCAGCTAGTAAGGAGGGGAAGCACGAGCACAAGGCTGAGGTTCTCATGCATCCTGGCACCGAACGTCTGCAGAGTCTCCTGCAGGACCAGTGCGTGTCTGCCCAGCCCCCATCTATACACACACCACAGGCTGCAGTCCCCTGCCCCCTTCTCCCTGTTCCTCTTCATTGCTACTAGGCTCACTTCTCTCCCAGACCCCTCACCAGCCATCTTCCCACACCCCACCTCGTGGTCCTTGTGACCTCTGGTGCCCCTGCCAGACATACCCTGTACTGCAGCCGGTGCCGGCGCCCAGTCAGGTGCATGTCTCTGGCATTACGGTCATTGAAGTTGCATTCACAGAGCTTGCATCGGAATCGGATCACCTTCCCCTCATCGCTGCGCACCTGGGAAAAAACACAGCCTAGCTTGCCACTGGACAGCCCTGATGGGCTGGAGGATGCTGGGCACCAGGACACCCAGGACACTGAGCCTCTTGGGGTGGGGCTGGCAGGGTGGTGTCGTTCCAGAGAGCTGGCACTGGAAGCCCAGATTCTGCCCAGGACCTGGTTCCTTCCTCCCCCAGTCCCACCACAGGGCGCAAGAGTTCACATCCCATGATGCCCTGCTGGCTGCCAGGCACTTTCTTTGGTCCCCATTGCTTCTGCTCTTGACCAAGTGGCAGGCTACCACAGTTGGCTCTAGCTGGTGTGCCCTGCACTAAAGTGTAAGGTTAAGGAACACATGGATAGAAGACCTGTCACCGTCACTTTGCACACACACATAAGTGACACCCTGGTGATGCTGGGGCAGTCTAGAAGGTAGGGGCCATGGAATGGGCTCCGAACAGAGCTCACAAGCTTGTGAGGGGACTGTCCGTCCTGGGTGTCTGCTTGGTGACCAGCAAGGACATTCCTTGGGCTGGCATTCAGAATCCAAGATCTCAGGGTGGAAGGGACCTGGTTGATTCTCCCAGGAAAGGTTGGCCAGGGCATGGAAACCACCTGAGATGGACAGGGCTTAGCTCTCTCTGGTATCCCAGCCTGGCCTTAGTGGGCCCCTCAGGCCAAGCAAGTGGTGGGGCTGGACAGGAGGGTCGTGGTGCCTGGCTGAACTCTGCCATCCCCTAGCCCCTCTCGGCACTCCCTGCGGGGAAGGCAGACATGAGAACCAGATGGTGTGGACAGCACCTGGAGAGCCACAGGGCCTCCATCCGCAGAGTCACCATGGCCAATCTCAGCAGACCCTGGGAACTCTGCTACCAGGACTCAGCGTGCAGCAGCTTCACTCACCTCCTCCACATACTCCGTCCCCACGGGCTCGATGTCTCCATAGGTCCCTGAAGCTTCTCCAGGGCATCCCTTAGTGGCCTCCGCCTTGGGGTGTGATGGTCGCCTTTCTCCAGGTCGACTGTGAACTGTCTGGAGCTCAGGTGGCCCTGCCAGAAACCATGGCCGGCTGCAACCCGGGGCTCTCCCCATCCCTTTTCCATAATGCCACGGGAATCTGAACCAGAGGGGCACTAGCCCCTCCCTCCTGTGGAAACTGTCACGGGCAACATGGTGTGGCACAGTCATGGTAGGCTAGGCATAATGCCAGGGGTCTATGTGGCACACAACTCAGGGTGAGGAGAGTGAGCCCTTCCCCAAGGGCCCCTGACTGTCTGACGTGACGAGGAAGGGTCACCTTGAGGGAGTGCTAAATGACAGTGACCTTTTATTCAAACTAAGTTTCCACAGATCTGGTGGCACATGCCCTGCTCATAAGACTGAGGCAGGAGGATCACCATTTCCAGGTCACCAGGGGTCACACATCGAGATCCTGTCTCAAAAACCAAGAGATAGCTGGGTGGTGATGTAAATTCTTAATCCCAGCACTTGGGAGGCAAAGGCAGGTGGATCTGAATTCAAGTCTAGTCTGGGCTACAGAGCCAGAAAGAGCTCCATGATAGCTAAGAACCCTGTCTATACAAAGAAACCCTGTCTAAAAAAACCAAAAACCAAACAAAAATACTTCCCAAAGTATCTAAAAGCTGGGGGCGTGGTCAGGGTGGAGCCCCGCCTAGAATTGTGGATATGGTCAACTGCTCACATGTACAGAACTGGAGAGACCTGTACCCTTGTGTGAGGTTGTTGATCCTTTTGCTAGCCGGCCTGAGGTGTAAGAGCTGTGACTGGTGTGAGCCTCATGCTCGACCGAGGTCTCATAGGTGCTGTCGGAGCCTCGGGTGTAGGTGACACTCCGTGTTGTAGGCTCAGAGGGAATGGGCTTCCCTAGCCTGCTGTGCAACTTGAACACCTGCAATGGACCCAACAGCCCTCAATCACGAGCAAGTTTGGGAAACAATCTGAACCGGCTGCTGGAGGGAATGTAGGGGCCACACCCTGGTCTCTGTACTCTGTGGAACCACCCCCACCCCTCACCCTCAAAAAAAAAAAAAAGGAAGAAAGAAAATCACAACCCCCCTGGAGTCACCTGCTGCCTGCAGTCCCATCCCTCAGATTTGGCACCTCTCTCTCTTCAACACCTGCACTGGCTCCCACTGAACATCTTCCACCACTAAGGCTGCCTTCTCTCTGGCTCCCAAGCCAGTGAGTGTGTATGCATGGATGTGTGATTTGGGGGACCCAGCTGAGACACACACACACACACACCCTGGATGTACCCAGACTCACGCCACAGTGCCCCCAACCAAGGTCTCTACCTCTAGCCACATGAAAGCACACTCACAGTCAACTCCCCTTCCCCCCTGTCGTGGTGACCCCTCCACCTGCACCTGCTCAGAGCTCACGGCTGGCCTGAGAGGCTCATACCTTCTGGTGCCTGGCTCCCCTCATGTGGGCAGCATAGGCGTCCACCCCGGTGCAGGACACAGCACAGAGGCCGCAGTGCAGGCTCTGGGACCCTCTCAGACCTCCACTGGGCGGTGTGCCTGTCCTCTGAGCGGCCTGTTTCTTTCGGTGCTTCTGTCCTTCCAGGTGGTCCCGATAGGTCTGGGACAGAGTGAGGTGGCCTGAGTGGGTGGCCCCCACCAGGGACCACACAGCCATCATCTGGGAGCTCAGAGGGCCACAGGGTCCCTGGCTTCCCCCACCACTTGTGCCTAAGTTGGAAGAGTCAGGGGGTATCACCCTCTCCCTTCCTTGACCTAAAGTCCAACCAGATTTCTCAAGAAAATATTCACCAAAGGTCCAGTGTTTTGTCTGGGAACAAGGGGCCACCACCAAACAAAACCTGGCTTTTCCAGTCTGGAGCTGAAGTTCAGGACAAAGTCCTGAGTTTTATCCCCAGGAGTCAGATGTGGGCTCGAAGACCTGCCCTCTAAGGACTTGGGAGTGTGTATGTGTGTCTGTGTGTCTTTGTGTGTGTATCTGTGTGTGGTGTATATCTGGGTGGTGTGTGTGTATCTGTGTGTGGTGTGTGTCTGTGTCTGTGTGTGATGTGTCTGCGCGTGATGTCACGTGTGTGTGATATGGCACATGTGTGATATGAATGTGTGGTGTGATGTGTGTGATATGGCATGTGTGTGTGTGATATGACATGAGCATCTCTGGGTGCAGGCCTATCACTGACAGGGTATCTCTCATTTCTCTCTTTTCCACCATATTGTTAGTCAATTTAATTGAATTCTGCCTGGGGCGTGTTGCCTTCATGTGACTGGGCCCTGCATGGCGACAGAGGGTACTGGTCCCAGAAACAGTGGTTACAGGGTACAGGACACACCAGGTAGGTGCTGGGAATACCCTGGGGTCTGTAGAGGACTGGCTGAATCAGGGCTCAAGTAGTCCAGGCTGGCCTCAACCTGACCATGTAGCCGAGGATGACCTGAATTCCTGATCCCCACCTCTCCCACCGCTACTCCATCTCACCCCTACCCCAGCTGTGGATGTGACAGGCCACACCACACCTGCCACTGTTTTTAACAGACACTGAGCCATCCACTGCCAGTCCTGACCTGCGGCCCTGCACAGCTGACCCTGCAGACTTCACAGTAGTGCATGGAGGGCGGCCTAGGGCCTGCCTTGGGCTTTGGCAGCCTGTCTAGGAAGGGCAGCGTGTCACTGGTAAAGCTGGGGTCCCAAGGCCCGAGGCCTGGGCCACCCCAGGGGTCTGAGCCCACAGGAACGGTCGGGGAGGCCTGCTGCTTCTGGGGGACATGCTGGGACTTCAGTGGGCGGTCAGAGCGCTGGGAGCTTGGGCCTAGGAGAGAGAGAGACAGAACACTTAGCCAGGCTTACCCAGAGCAGGTCCACTGCAGGGAGCAGATGCTTCACAGGCTACAGAGTGGGCCAAGGTGGGGACAGAAGCCCAGGCTGAGCACTCAAGACCACTGTGGCACTAGGACAAGTCAAGCTGGTGGGTCAGCCCTCTCTGAGTGGCCCAGACTATCTGCAATGGTCTCTGGTGAGCCTGTGCCCTCCCGTAGCCCCCAGGGAGAGTTTTTGGCCTCTGCAGCTCAGAACTCAATGAAATTTAAAACCTGAGATTGGAGCTGACAAGATGGCTCAGTGGATAAGGGCGCTTGTAGCCAAGCCTGTTGTCTAAGTTTGACCTTTGGGACCTACACAATAGAAGAACCACCTGAAAGTTGTTCTCTGCTCTCCACACACACCAAGACAAACACAGTCAAGTAAATGGCATAAAAACAAACAGATAAAAAGACGTAAGACTGCTGTGTGGTGGCGCACGCCTTTAATCCCAGCACTCGGGAGAAAGAGACAGGCGGATCTCTGTGAGTTCTAGGCCAGCCTGGTCTCCAGAGCAAGTGCCAGGATAGGCTCCAAAGCTACACAGAGAAACCCTGTCTCGAAAAATCAAAAAGCAAGCAAACAAACATCCAGCACACACACGCACGCACACACACACACACACATGCGCGCCCACACACACACACAAACACACACAAATGCACACACACATGCCCACACACGCAACACACACACGTGCAGACACGCACACACACATGTGCACATGTACACACACCGCACACGCACAAACACACACATGCACACAAGACAGCAGTCTAGTCTGCTTGCCCTTGTCCAGCCCAGGCCTGTCATGTGTGCTATACGCTGAATCAGGGTGGCCCCTGTGAGGTCCATGGCCATTCCTACCCCTCAGAGACTCACCTGACCGGCCGAGTGAGGCTGTGGCTGGCTGCTCTGAGGTGTCCTCACAGCTCCTGGACCCCTTTGACTCTCCACAGCTGTGACCATCCTGCTGCAGGGTTATGTGAGACAAAGAAAAAAGAAAGCAGCTCAGTGAGGTAGATGGGAAACGGGGGACACTGGGGACAGCGGGGTGGATATTGGGGACAGTGGGGTGGACACTAGGACAGTGGGGTAGACACTGGGGACAGTGGGGTGAGACACTGGGGACAGTGGGGTGAGACACTGGGGACAGTGGAGTAGACACTGGGGACAGTGGGGTGGACACTGGGGACAGTGGGGTGGTCACTGGGGCCCGGGGGGGGGGGAGAGGGGGGGGGAAGGGGGGGGGGAAATGGGGGGCGGTGGGGGGGGCGGGCGGTGCGCGGGGGGGGTGGGGGGAGCGGGGGGTGGGACCCTGGGGACAGTGGGGTGGACACTGGGGACAGTGGGGTGGTCACTGGGGACAGTGGGGTGGTCACTGGGGGACAGTGGGGTGGGACACTGGGGACAGTGGGGTGGACACAGGGGACAGTGGGGTGGACACTGGGGACAGTGGGGTGGACACAGGGGACAGTGGGGTGGACACTGGGGACAGTGGGGTGGAAATAGGGGACAGTGGGGTGGACACTGGGGACAGTGGGGTGGTCACTGGGGACAGTGGGGTGGACACTGGGGACAGTGGGGTGGTCACTGGGGGACAGTAGGGTGGGACACTGGGGACAGTGGGGTGGACACAGGGGACAGTGGGGTGGACACTGGGGACAGTGGGGTGGTCACTGGGGACAGTGGGGTGGACACTGGGGACAGTGGGGTGGTCACTGGGGGACAGTGGAGTGGGACACTGGGGACAGTTTGGTGGACACTGGGGGGACAGTAGGGTGGGACACTTGGGGACAGTGGGGTGGACTTTGGAGACAGTGGGGTGGACACCGGGGGGGACAGTGGGGTGGACAATGAGGGCTCTATGTGGTTAAACATGGGACGGATGGGCTTATGGTCTGGACACTGTTCATGCAATATGTTTTGATGAGACAAGTTGTCCTCATGGCCCAGGCTACCTGGCAGTCTCATATAGCCATGGGTGACCTTGAACTCTCCAGGAGCTGCTTCTCAGCCTGCTTATGTGGTGCTGGCTGTGGACTCAACAACTTTGTGTGATGGGCAAGTGTGCTGCCCACTGAGCTACATTCCCAGCCATTAAGAAACCAACTTCAGGTATTTATTAATTTATCGTGTGAATGCATGTCCAGCACACAGAGGTCTGAGGACAATCCATGAGTCAGTTCTCCCCTTCTATCTGAGGACAATCTGTGAGTCAGTTCTCCCCTTCTGCCACGTTGGTCCTAGGGGTGAAAAGCTGACCACCACATTTAGCAGCAAGCGCCTTTACTATTGCCATCTTGCCAGGCCCATCTTTCTTATTTATTTATTCAAGACAGGGTTTCTCTGTGTAGCCCTGGCTGTCCTGGAACTCGTGTAGAACAGGCTGACCTTGAACTCACAGAGATCGGCCTGCCTGCCTGTCCCTCCCGAGTGCTGGGTTAAAGGTGTGCACTACCACACACCTGGACCCTATTTTGCTTTTTTTTTTTAAGATTATTTATTTATTTATTTATTTATTATGTATCCAACATTCTGCTTCCATGTATATCTGCACACCAGAAGAGGGCACCAGATCTCACTACAGATGGTTGTGAGCACCATGTGGTTGCTGGGAATTGAACTCAGAACCTCTGGAAGAGTAGTCGATGCTCTTAACCTCTGAGCCATCTCTCCAGCCCAAGTTTGCTTTTTTTTTTGAGGCAGTATCACCCTACCCAGGATGGACTCGACTCCCTACACAGATGTGAGCCTGTGCCACCATGGTGGATCTGAGACACTGTTTTAGTGACACTGATGCAGGATTGAAAGAGAAGGGAAAGGAACCCCCTCGCCATAGATAGCAGGCTTCCTGTGATACACACCTCAGCCACCACAGACATAGTTGAACCATAGTTGAACCTGTGTCCCTGTGGCCTTCAATTCTGCTGCCCCTCGGAGCCACTCAAAGGCCACCAAAGCCTCCGAGACTACCAAAAAATCCAGAGCTGCACTGGGTGTGACTGATTTCCTCCCAAGCCTCCCATCCCACCCCTCTGCTTATGCCCCTATTAAAATCTCTTGAATGAAAGTCCCAATTCTGATACATGACCACCCAGCCCCAAAATTCTTCTTGGGATGGAAGCAGGTGTCCAGGTTTGGCCTGAGTCAAGGCACTCCCAAGTGGTGGCAATGCGGGTCAGGATGAGAGCTGAGTGGTAGGAGCTGTGCTGGGGGAGGTAACCCAGCAGTCACCATGTCCTGGAACCCCCATAATCACTGCCTGCTAGAAGAGATTTTCTCAGAACCATGCAGGCTCCATCTGGGGCTACCACCCAGCTGGGTCAAAGCTCGTACACCTCAGTGTCTCCAGAAATCCCTATGGGCTCCTTGGGAGGTGTCATCATGGTGACTCCTGTTACCCAAAAGCAGTTACCTAGAACCGCAACTCTGACAAAGCTGATGTCAGAGACACCATGCATGCATGTCCCCATGTGACACACGTTTCCTTGTGGTGTAGGGAGCTGGACATACTCAGTGGCTAGAGCACAGGCTGCTCCCACAGAGAACCCGGTTCAGTTCTCAGCACCCCCAGGGCAGCTCACAACCATCTGTAACTCCAGCTGGGGGGGGGGGTTGGCGCTGATGCCCTCTTCCAGCCTTCATGGGCACTGAACATACATGGTATGCAGACACACATGCAGGCAACACATTCATATATAAAATAAACTCTTGTTGCATGAGGTGGCACTGTGATACCTGGTGGGTGGCCATGGGGACAGGATCCTGGGGACGGCTGTTGGGTATGGAGTGGGGCTGGGAGCAGCCATACTCCACGGGGACGCCTCCTCCTCCAGGTGCAGGTGTCTGGGTGGCAGGGGCCAGGGCCTGGCTGGCAGTGCTCTCCGTTCCAGGGGTGGACTGCATGGCATAGCTGGCCCCAGCAGCCCGGAGGGGGAAAGCCGAGAATGGCTGGGTGCTGGAGTTACCAGAACACAAAAGGCAGAGTGGGTTAACTGGGTCTTTGAGGTATGTAACCCCCACAGCAAGTAGTTGGCCAGGCCAGCCTCTCACGCCTATGTGGACATAGATCACACTCATTGTCCCTGAAACTCATACAAACTAGATGGCTTGGTCAATAAGCTCTAGAGATCCTCTTGTGTCTGCCTCCCCAACACCAGGTCCATAGGTGTGTGTCATCGTGCCTGGCATTGTAGATGGATGCTGGGGATTTGAACTCGGGTCCTCAGACTTGTGCAGCAGGCACTTTCACTTCCCTGTATGGCTCCATATCCACAATTATAGCCCAAGAAACTCAGGTAGGTGAGCATACCTGAAAACAGGCATGGTGGTGCAGGCCTGGCTATCCCAGATATTCTGGAGGCTGAGGCTGCAAGACTGTGAGTTCTAGGCTAGTCTAGGCTATGGTGAGCTGTTGTGGTTTTATTTGTATTTTATGCATGTGGGTGTTTTGTCTGTAGTACCATTCGTGTGGCTGGTGTCTACAGGGGCCAGCAGAGGGCACCAGGATCCTTCACTGAAGGTAGAGACTGAAGCACTGTGGGCGCTGAGAATCAACCCTAGTTCTGTCCTGGGCAAGTGCAGCCGCTGAACTTCAGCACCAACAGCCACTGGGTACAGCTCTCCATACCAGGAAGGCCCAGGAAGCCCTCCGGGGGCACTGGGGATGTGATTTCACTGTTACTTTGCTCCACAGTGGAGGCTTACCTGGACTATTGACTCCTGCTTTCACCTCCAAAGTGCTGGGAGGGGTCTGCTAGGGACCCCAAAGCCACCTGCATGCTAATGTGTGTTCTGCTCACTAGTGGTCACAGAGCACAAAGAACCTAGTGGGAGCAGGAGACATGGCAGGCCTGTGACACCAACATTCCACAGTGTTGACATGAGTTCTGTATCAGTAAAAATGGGATCACAGCTGAGGGTTCCTGGTCACTTGCTCACAGTGTGGCGGTGGGGCTGAGAAGTCAGAGGTCACCAGCTCAGCAGGTGACAGCCAGCAGGCTGGGCTGCCTCAAGGGGAGTGGTCCTGGTGACAGGTACAGGCCTTTGGAATGGCTCCAAGGGACAGGTAGTGGACACCACTTTTCCTGGGCAGTTTCAGGTCAACATGACACAAGCTGAAGTCATCAGAGAGGAGGAAGCCTCAACAAAGAAAACGTCTCGGGATGGAGAAATGGCTCAGAGGTTAAGAGCACTGACTGCTCTTCCAGAGGACCTGAGTTCAAGTCCCAGAAACCACATGGTGGCCCACAATGAGATCTGATGCCATCTTCTGGTATGCAGGCATACATGGAGGCAGAATGCTAGACACATAATAATAAGTAAATAAATAAATCTAAGAAAAAAAAAGAAAGAGAGAAAGAAAGAAAAACGTCTCAAGACCAGGCTTTACACAAAAGCCTGCAGGATATTCTCTTAGTGATTGATGGGGAGGGTTCCGCCTACTGTGGGCGGAGCCACTCCTGTGGGGGCTGGTCCTGTATTCTATAAGAAAGCAGGCTGAGCAAGCCCTGAGGAGCAAGTCAGTAAGCAGCACCTTCCATGGCCTCTGCATCAGCTCCTGCCTCCAGAGTCCCTGGTACTTTCAATGAGGGGCAGTGATGTGACACCCTAAGATGAATTAAAGGGCTTCCTTCTGACTGCTTTTGGTCATGGTGTTTCATCACTTAGTAACCCTGGCCAAGATAGAAATTGGTGCCGAGTTCTGGGATTTGCTGAGACAGACCTGGCTATGTCCGAGGGAGGAGTGGGGAAGCCACAGAATATTCACCACCCCCAGAGAACTAGGAGGATGCTCTCACAGATAGCATTGAGAGTGGTGCGGCCAGTGGCGGCCTGGTTTGTTAAGTTCAGAGGGAAGATGCTGTGGGGCCATTTGCAGTTCTGAATTAAGAATCTGTGGCTCTGCAAAGGAGTACCAGCCTACAATCCACACCACTAGAGAAGCTAGGAAACAAGGAGGACCTTAAGAGAGACATACATGGTCCCCCGGAGAAGAGGAAAGGGACAAGATCTCCTGAGCAAATTGGGAGCACAGAGGCGGGGAGCTAGGAGAAAGAGAAGGGGAGAAGAGGGAAGAGGAGGACATGAGGAAGCAGAAAGGTTGAGTCAGGGGAAGAATAGAGGAGAGCAACAAAAGAAACATCATAATAGAGGGAGACATTGTAGCTCTAAAGAGAAATCTGGCACCAGGGAAATGTCTGGAGATCTACAAGGTTGACCCCAACTAACAATCTAAGCAATAGTGGAGAGGCTACCTTAAACACCCTTCCCTGAAATCTAAAAAAAAAAAAAAAAAAACCTTCCCTGATAATGAGATTGATGATTACCTTATATGCCATCTTAGAGCCTTCATCCAGTAGCTGATGGAAGCAGAAGCAGACACCCATAGCTAATCACTGAACTGAACTCCTGGAATCCAGTTGCAGAGAGGAAGGAGTGATGAGCAAAGGGGTCAAGACCAGGCTGGAGAAACCCACAGAAACAGCTGACCTGAATAAGAAGGAGCTCTTCGATCCCAGCCTGATATCTGGGAAACCAGCATAGGACCAACCCAGACCCCCCTGATCGTGGGTGTCAGGAGGCCTGGGCAATCTATGGGACCTCTGGTAGTGGATCAGTATTTATCCCTAGTATATGAATGGACGTTGGGAGCCCACTCCACATAGAGGGATACTCTCTCAGCCTAGACACACAGGGGAGGGCCTAGGCCCTGCTCCAACTCATGACAGACTTTGAAGATTCCCCATGGAAGGCCTCACCCTCCCTGGGGAGCAGAAAGGGGATGGGATAGGGAGTTGGTGGAAGGGTAGGGGAGGAGGGGAGGGAGAGGGAACTGGAATTGACATGTAAAACAAGCTTGTTTCTAATTTAAATTTTTAAAAGGGGGAAAAAAGTAATCTGTGGCTCTGGTCAGCTGAAGCTAAAGACTTAACTGTGATGAGCAAAGAGCCAGCACCACCAAGGTGAAACATTCTGGGGTCTCTCCTGAGAGTCAGCACACAGGGCCAAAGTTGACAATTGTGCTGGCAGCCAAACTTGGTAATGTGTAAGCGTCACCCGTGTGGTACTGGTTTTGAAGGCATGAAGGGGTTATGGAAAGCAAAGAGGCTTGACACTGTGAGAGGCCAGGAAAGGCCATTGGTGCAGGTACAGCCTCAAAAACAGTTGAAGGCCCAGGACTGAGGGGATCATGCAAAGAATTGAGGCTTGACAGGAGGAGTCTATGAGAGGCTAATGGTGAAAGTGCAGCCCAGTTGCAATGGAAGAGCCCAGCATTTTGAGAGATGCCAGTACCATGGGATGACCACCAGGAACAGGAACAGCAATGGAATGGAGGCGTCCAGAGCCTAGAAAGCAAGCTGTATACTGCAGAGGGCAGAGCCGGAGAAGTGACCCAAATCCTTGGAGGAGGCTGGAAGACGGTGAGTCCCAGATATTGAACTCTGAGATGTTTACACTACTGTAGTTTGGTTTTTCCTTGCTCCAACTGGGACTGTGCTCTGGTTCTTTCCTCTTTTGTAATAAGAGTTAATTTTTTGATTTTACAGGACTACACAGTTGAGATACTGAATTTTTAAAGAGATTCTGGAATTTTACAGTGACTTCAGATTTCATTAATTATTGTTATTACTATTGTTTTGTTTTGTTTTTTTGAGACAGGGTTTCTCTGTGTATCCCTGGCTGTCCTGGAACTCACTCTGTAGACCAGGCTGACCTCGAACTCACAGAGATCCGCCTGCCCCTGCCTCCCAAGTGCTGGGACTAAAGGAGTGTGCCACCACTGTCTGGCTCAGAAACTTCAGGGTTTTTTTTTTTAAGATTTTATTTATATATTATGTATACAACATTCTGCTTCCATGTATATCTGCACATCAGAAGAGGGCACCAGATCTCATAATGGATGGTTGTGAGCCACCATGTGGCTGCTGGGAATTGAACTCAGGACCTTTGGAAGAGCAGTCGATGCTCTTAACCTCCGAGCCATCTCTCCAGCCCGAGACTTCAGGTTTTTAAAGAGACTGAATTTTATTTTGTAATTTTTAAAAGATTTGTTTTTACTTTATGTGTACAAGTTCTTTGCCTGAAGGAAATTTGTGCACATGTGTGCCGTGCCTGCAGAAGCCACTGGGGGTGTCAAATCCACTGAACTGGAGTGATGGTTAAGAGCCACCATGTGGGTGCTGGGAGTCAAACCTAGGTCCCCTGCAACAGCAGCCAGTGCTGTAGTCACTAGGCCATCTCTCCAGCCCCAAAGGGATTGAATTTTAGAATGTTTGATTGGAAAAGAAGTTTGTAATATGTTTTATATTGTGATATTTATTGATTTGAGATCTTGGGGATGAACAAAACAGAATTTATTGCTAAATAATGTTGTGTTGGTGTGTCACTTTGACAAGAGATCAATTGTGCAGGATAGTTTTGTCAATTTGACACAATTTAGAGTCATCAGAGAGGAAGAAGCCTCAACTGAGGAAACGCCTCCATGAGATCCAGCTGTAAGGCATTTTTTTATTTAGTGATCAATGGGGAAGGGTCCAATCCATTGCAGGTGATGCCTTCTCTGGGCTGCTGGTCCTGGGTTCTCTAAGAAAGCAAGCTGAGCAAGCCATGATGAGCAAGTCAGTAAGCAGCACCCTCCATGGCCTCTGCATCAGCTCCTGCCTCCAGGGTCCTGCCCTGCTTGAGTTCCTGTCCTGACTTCATTCAATGATGAGGTGATCTGGAAGTGTAAGCTGAATAAACCCTTTCCTCCCCAACTTGCTGTTGGTTGTGGTGTTTTCTTTTCTAAACAATTCATCTTTCAGCCTGAGTAGTGTGTCATCATCATACAGTAACCCTAACAAGACACCTGCTGGTGGGGAGAATGTGTCCCCAGTTGTCACAGCCCCCAACTCCCGATACATGTCCAATTCCTTTTCCTCTACTAACTTGGCAGTGACTGACTCATTTACTTAG